TCAATTTTTAACAAAAATAAATATCTTAAAGCACAAATGTTACCTTATGATGAGGATGACCCGTTCAACAGCAGTGAATCTCTTCTTGGGGTCCGGCTGATGGAAGCTGTCCCTTACGAGGGCGCACAGCACGTCAGCACCTCCCGCGAGGGTCACGCAGTGCAGCAGGATGGGCACCGCCACCGAGCTGATATGCGACTGAGACGCATCGCAAACATTCCATAAGCTGCAAGAAACGGACACACAAACATAAAAAGCTTCAAAGGTGCTGCAGTGGATTCCTATTTTATTCGTGACGTACTTGTCAATAAGCAGGTTCTCCTGGCACCATATCAGGAAGCCCCGGTGCTCGGCCAACGCGTCAGTATTAAGAACCAATACTTGAAGACACTGCAGTAAGTGGTACAGGATGTCCGGCCGCGATATGTTCTTTAATTCCTAAAGGTACAACGAAAATATGCATATTAAAGATTGAGATATAATCTGACTCGAAGGACCATATTTCATCATAACTATGTTAAGCTGTTTAAAAGTTAAGTTTTAATGTATTGAAGACCTGCAGCAGCTGATGTATATACTGCAACTCCTGGGGCAGCTCGTCGATGCAGAAGTGGAACTTCCCAGCGGATGTTGGCCAGAAGTTGGTCATATCCTCCTCAACGGACTCGCCTGTCGCCTCGTGGTCGCCAAGAAGGTTGGGAGTTGATATCTAGATTTGAAGAGTTGGCTGTCAAAGTTGGTAGTTTCCATGTCTTTGGTAATTTATACTCATATTATAAAAGATAAGAAATTAATAGGTTAGAATGGTATGGACATGTTATGAGAGGGGAAGAATCGTATGTTACAAAGACGATAGTTATGAGTCTGATACTCCGGTAAAGGTAGATGTAGAAAGAGATGGATGGATTGCGTGAAACGTGGCACGAAGAAGGGAGTGATGACTGAGATGTATGATAGAGTTATGTGGAGGACAAGAACCTTTACGCCAGCCCTACGGGTGTAGGATAAGGAAGAATATGATGATGATAATTAAGGTTTTTGTTACATCAGCAGTAGCGGTGGCGACATCCGTGTCTGTGAGTGTGACAGTATGCGCGGTGGCGAGCGGCGGGCGCTCTGCTGGCGGCAGGCTGGCCGCCATGTCCAGCTGCTCAGTTATGGTCTCCACTGTTGCTGTCATTATCTGCGCAGTCCACCACAAATTACATAGAAAACCGGTACTTTATTACGTCGGGAAAGCAGAGCGAGGTATCGGCCAAGCTCGGTAAAGTTCGGTGTTGTAGCGTTTTCTGTCGCACATTCTGAACTTGTATACTTATCTCGCTCTTGTTTCCGATGTTCCAAATTAAATGGCCGGTAATTTTTTTTCAAGGCTTTTATTGTGCATCAATAATTCGAGAAATCATTGATTTTTTGCAAAAGTGGGAAGGAACATCAATATTTTGCCATCAAAGTACAAAACTATTAGACATAAAATTATTTAGAATTAAGTGTCTTTGATGTATCAAATATCACTTTATTTGTTAGATTTTGTTGCAATGTTGCTTATAATATTCGCTTACTTACGTAGAAATTGCCTTGAAAAGAACTTTTACTAAAAATTATGATAAAAATAGCTGAGCAACAACATTATTAGTCTTTATGTAAGCATGCTTTATTGTTATTTACACCCATTATTGATTTAGTCAGATTTACTGATTTATTTTTTAATAAGAAAACGTGAAATGAAGTCGAAAACAGTTCCTTCCGATTTTTTTTTATATTAAAAGGTGGCAAAGGAGCAAGCGACCACCTGAATCCACCGAAATGGAAAGCGACCGCTGCCCATAAACATCCGCAATTGCAGATGCGTTGCCTACCCTTAATTGACGGAGGAGGAGACGCACATAAAGAGGACTTTTTCCCTTTCTATTCTCTCTCCTTCACCGTCAAATCCACTTTTCCTTCCCATTCTTTCTCCTTAAGAAAAGGGTAGAAAGGGAGAGAGACTAAAATTATTCCTCCGGCGCCACACTCCTCAGACGAAATGCGAAATTGCTTTCACTTCACGCCTGTTTTCTGTGTGGTCGTGGTATTACACCGGGCGAGTCGGCCCATTCGTGCGAAGATGTTAAAGCGGGCTCTACCACTGTTAAGAATTTTTAAGCTTCGAGTTATCAATTCACGTTTCCTGGTCAATTTATTAAAAAAAATACATCGATCACTATATAAAAACACATACACACAACAAATAAACATAATAAAAACACATGAAATAAGCGAGGAAAAGGTAAAACAGACATACTTGCGATTCACCTGACGACTTAGTGAGTGTGCCGTCCGAACCGACGTCGCTTATGAGAGACAGTTGCATGAAATGAACAAACTATACATCTATTATTTTTAAGTTCATGCCTACCCCAATACACATCAGGATATTACGAACAAAAAACAGATAAAAAGACACTTGTAAAGTGGGCTTATGGATAATTTTACGTGAAAGCGTCACGGCTTAGGCAAATTGTGCCGGATCGTGCGATAGAGACGTCGCTTGTTCCGCGTTCTCTTTTGCACATTGGGCAAAAGCAGAACGTGACAAAAAGTCATTCTTTATTTTGTATGCAGCCAGCGTTAACATATCGATAACATTATAAAAAACAAACAAACGAAAAATGAATAAAAGTCAGTCCTAGTAAATTGGAATTAAAATTTATCTGTTCCTATTTTTACTTTTACTTTATCCTGAAGTTATTGGTTGTTAGGCAATTACTTTAAACCTGCTGTAAACTAGGGAATAAAACACTAAGGGCCTGTCCCACCAAATTGTAAATTGTCTGAGAACAATCCAACGTGTAAAATATGTGTTGGAAACATCGAATTTTGTTCCCTTATCTGTCAGTATCATTTTTTAGCTATCTGAGGCTCTATCAGCCAGTGGTGGGACAGGTCCTAAAGGAAGTTAATTGACGTTCTCGTGAGATTTGGCAGGAAATTGGAAGCCTAAAATGAACTACGTAATTTTTAGAGAGAGGGTATTACAAATTGGTTACTGGTAGAGATTTTGTTATAAGAAAAAAAAGAATTAAAACAGCTGTCTATAATAATATGTGTAACATTTTATAGTCTTAATTATTCTCTCCTTAGATAGTTATTAACCAGTACACAATTTGTTATTCTAGACATATTCTAAGATTTTAAATAGAGACTCGTAAGCTTCCAGCAGCCAATTACTTGGTACGTCACCACAGTGCGTAATTTTTTTTGGTAATTTTTTGCTTACAAGCCTCGTTATAATTTTATTTTCATTCTATTTCATTTTTAATTTAACATTTCAAATATACAAAGGAACAAACCAAAAGCGGTAGATTGTTCCCATACAAAATAACAACAAAAAGTATTTCATTAATAAAAAAATACAATATTTCAATTATGGTAACAATCGCTGGTAACATGCAGACATTAAAATATAAAGATAATTGAAACGCTTATTTACAAGCTTTTGAAATTGGAAAATTCTAGAAAAGAGGCTCCCGCCAAATCAAACGATAACATCTAAGTAGTAGATAAGGGGCAGTACTCACATGCGGCATGTGCACTAACACTCCACCCACAGAGCTCTTGTCGCCGAGCGCGTGTGCACTCGCTATTGACATCAACCCGTCCACGGACGCGGCCGGTGTGCCACCAGATTTACTCCTCTCCTCCTCGGATTGGTTCTTCTTCATCTGTGTCTCGCACCAAGTCTCCTCTATCGATGGCTGGATACATCATAAACATTTTACACTTGTGTATTGCAGTATACCTGATCAAGTACCTTTTTTTTATAGTACAATTTGGTACACCGGAATTATCGCTAAAATGTACATCATTAAAAAGATGTATAGCACTTGTACAACGCAATGTACTAACCTAGGTGGGGCGCAGTGTACTTAACTAGGTGTATCGCAGTGTACTTATCTAGATGTGTCGCAGTGTACTTTGCTAGGTGTGTCGTAGTGTACTGAGCTGAAGTGTCGCAGTGTACTTAGATAGAAGTGTCGCAGTGTATATTGTTTGGTGTATCGCAGTGTAGTAAGCCAGGGTGTCGCAGTGTACTTAGCTAGATGTGTCGCAGTGTACTAAGCTAGATGTGTCGCAGTGTACTAAGCTAGATGTGTCGCAGTGTACT